GTGGAGGATTCTCTAGACATTTGTCTCAGAGTTCAAAGAGCAAAGGTCATCTCTTAGGCCATCTCACAGTACAAGTGCTGAGCTCCGAACCCTATATACAGTTGTTGCATAACACAGAAGGGTACCCACTCCAGGAGGGACTGGAGACACCTACAGCGTGAGTTGGTTAGTTGTCAGAGCTTTGTTACCATGCCTGAAGCCCTGAGTTCAGGCCCCAGCACTGAACAAAGTAGGTCTAGCAGCACATGCTGGCAATCCCAGCACCTGAGATGGGACCAGGAAGATCCAAAGTTCGAGGTCACCCTCAGCCACATATCAAGTTCTAGGCTAGCCAGAAATACCTGAAACCCTGTTTCTAAGGGCATGAACTGGGTGGAAGGCAATTAAATTGAAGGGTATTTGAGGTAGAAGGAGCAGCCTATACCAGACCCACAGGCAGGTACTTCAGGCAACTGAAAATAGCTGTGGTGGACCTGGTGTTTAATGACCTTCCAGATTCTGTGGCTAAACAGGTTCCCACAGTGGACCATCCTCTGCCACCACCACAAGGTCCCTGAACATAGAGCTGAGAAGACACGTGACCTTGACAAGTTACTTAACTGTTGTGTGTGCGTGTGCACACTCTCGCTACTGTGTGTGTGTGTGTGTGTGTGTCTGTCTGTCTGTCTGTCTGTCTGTCTGTCTGTCTGTCTGTCTGTCTGTCTGTCTTGGTTTAGCATCAGGCATAAAGGAGTAATGGGGGCCAGTGATTTTTCCCTGTTCTGAGATGACACAAACCAGGTACACAGGAAGGTGTCAATAAATGTTGGCTATTTTCAGTAGGAGGGAGGGACACACTCCCAGTCCACATACCACAGAAAAAAACGGTAACTGTCTTTGAATAGTGAATAGGTATCCTGGAAAAGATGTGGGAGGGGCAGGCCTAGCATACAGCTGTGGCATCAGAAGGTACCTAGGAGACCAGGCAGAGAAGCTTAGTATGCTGTCTTTTGTTGTAGAAGAACTTGATGGAGTCCCTAAGAAGAGACTCTGACTCGTTCTAGGCTTGAAATGCTCAGCCATCACAGGAGTGACACCACCCCAAGCCAATTTCCATGACGTCACCTGCAAAGGGCACCTTGAACCTGGTGGCCGATCCCAGGCCACCCCTGGAGAGCAGGAGGGAACCCAGGGCTCAGCCTGGGACTAAACAGGGCCTAGAAGGGCAGGGAACATCTGGGTCACAGGACATGGGTTAGAGGAAGTGGCTGACTGGCCTTGTGAAGGTGCTCAGGGAACCCATCTCTTCAAATCTCTGAAGGGCTGAAGGCACCAAGGTCACAGATGCACAGTGGGGCTCGGATGGACGAGTCAACACCAGGTTCCTCGTTCTCTGGACTTGGAGTTTGGCTTAGGCCAGAATGAGCTGTCATGGGAGACTTTCTTGTCTCGACAGTGCTGTGGGACATTTGTACACTGTGTGAAGATGTATTGCTATGATTGGTGTAGTAAAAAGCTGAATGGCCAATAGCTAGGCAAGAGTTATAGGAGGGACTTCCAGGCAGAGAGAGAACTCTGGGAGGAAGAAAGGCAGAGTTGGGAGCCAGACAGGGAGAGGAAACAGGAGGTGCAAGATGGAAGAGAGGTAATGCCATGTGACAGAACATAGATTAATATAATTGAGTTAATTTACATTGTGAGAGCTAGTTGAAACAAGCCAAAGCTAAAGGCCAAGCTTTCATAATTAATAATGTCTCTATGTCATTATTGGGGAGCTGGCAATCCCACAAAAGACAGTCTGACAAGGAAGTTTGCTACTTTATTGGGCACTTTCTATCCACCATTCTATCCAGCAATAAGGAGTGGGATGTAGGGATAGATAGAGTGGGACACACCTACCAAGCAAAGGGAAGTTTTCCTTTAAGGGTTAGAAACACAATGCTCTATCAGGTCAACAATTGCAACCCTTCCATGCTACTTTGTAAAACTGTCAAAGACCCAGGGGTGTGACTCAACTGTAGAGCACTAGTCTAGCACACACTGAGCCCCCCTCCCCAGCATTGCACTAATGGGATATGGCAGTGCACACTGTTGAGAAGCTCCACCCAGCCCCACTTCTCCCATTCCAGACCTCACCCCTGAGAGAGCCCATAGCTCCTCCTTCTGAGATGCTCAAGGTCACACCTACAGCCTATTTAAGATGTGGTCCTGACCTGCTAAGTGGTTATTCCTCCTAGCTTTCTCCTCCCACTTCCAGACCGCCTGGGATTTTTTTTTTTTTTTTTTTTGCTTTGTATATGTTTTTGTTTTTACTTATTAACCCTGGATTTGTAAATATAAATCTGGCTTGGTTTGACTGGCTGTGTTGGTAGAAAGACTTAATATTAGGGTACAGAAATCTTTTACACACCTATAATCCCAGCACTTGGGATGTGGAGACAGGAGGGTCTGAAGTTGATTAGCCAATATACCACAAGTTGAAGTCCAGCCTGGGTTATAGAATACAATGTCTCAAACAAACAAGCAAGCAAACAAACAAAAAGGTGCGAGGAGGGATTAAAATAAAAGCATTTTGGTAATTGTTTGCTTGTTTTGCTTTTGGTATTTTGTTGCTGCTGTTGTTATTTTGGCTTTTGCTTTTGTGGTCCAGGCTGGCCTACTCACTACTCAGACTGGTAATCCTACTGTTTGAGGCTCCTGAACATTGGGAACACTAGCTTGTGCCACAACACAAGTATTAATATATTTTATTAACATTAGCATATTTTATCACTTTTATTTTAAATGTATGGGTGTTTTGCCTGCATGTATCGGCGTATCGTGCCCACTGAGACCATTAAGATGTCCAGTCCCTTGGAACTGGAATTACAGAGGTTGTAAAATACCATGTGGGTGCTGGGAATAAAACCCAGGTCCTCTAGAAGAGCAGCAAATAAGCCATCTTTCCAGCCTCAGGATTTTTTTTTTTAAGAACAATTATGCACCAGTGAGTAGCCATATGACCTGGAGGGAACGCTCCATTCCCTCTGTACCCTGGGCCCCTCCTTATTTTTCTCTTCAGGCCATGACAAAGAGTGAGAAAACAGGTCCACGAAGTGGGAGCTGGACTACCAGGCCTGCAGTTCCCCCAGAGGGGCGCCTGGATTGCTGTGGGACCTTCGTGTCTTTCTACCCAGGTTCCTCACAGAATGCCCTCTAAAATACTTAGCAGTCACAGAGCTCTTTCTTGCTTTATTAACCTCCAGGCTTCATCTTAAAGGCCACCTTTTCCAGGATGCCTGAAAGCCAAAATTACACTTTAACTTTCAATTACCAGGCCATAGAGGTCCATGAAACAAAAATGCCTCTGCTCTGCAAGCCCCTTGCCCACGGACAGATGGTTTCTGAAATGCTAGAGTCTATTGTTTATGGGTGACTTCCCACAATAAGTTTGTTTAACCTATCTGCACCCGATCACATGTGGGCAGGAGGTTCACAGGCAGGAAATACATCAGGATGTATGCTTGCCCCTGGTTAGATGTAGGCTGAAGGTACCTTAGGATGTATGCTTGCTCCTGATTGGATATAGGTTGTAGGAACCTCAGGATGTAGCTTGCCCCTGATTGCTTCCCTGATGGAAAATACTGAAGCTGCTGCAAAACTTGATTAGGGGACATTTTTCTGGGAACCAGAGATGGACCTGGCCAGAATTCATCCACCTGAGTTATGTTTAATTAAATCTTGCTTCAAATTTGGCTTTAAATTGTGGTAGTGGTCTTTCTCTATCTTTCTCTCTCCATTGGTGGGATTAACAGATGCCTTCTCAGGTGACCTACCTAAGGTCAGTATGCTCTTTCCTTAATGTCAAAACATTATGTGCTTCTTTGGGCTTGACATTCCTTGAGAAACCCTTCCTCCAGAACTTGAGTATCACAGGACAAAGACACCTCTGTATCCTTTACTGTATGAAGAATTTGACTGGATAAAATCTTGGAGACTGGAGGAAACAGTGACTCCATCTGGGTTAGAGCCCAGTGTCGGCCTGGCAGCTACTCTTACAGATACATGGCTACTCCTCCCTCTCCGGTCTTTCATGGCAAGTCACAGTTTGGATGGGTATCATAGCTACCAATCAGTCATTGGCTCAAGTACATCCATGGAACTGTCCTAAGGAGGAATGTGTGGCCCTTCATACCCTCCCTTTGACTATCAGACTGCTGAAGCAATGAATCCTCTCCAGAATTTTTGCCTTGATAAGAACCTGACCAACACAACTTGCGGCCATTCTCTGGGAATTTCAGGTATGGATCTGGCTAGCATCCATCATCCTGGCCAGTATTTAAGGAAGCTTGCTTCAACTTTGGCTTAAAAACTGTGGTAGTGGTCTTATTCTCACCCAGGGGGATTAACAGAATCTCATGGTGTTGTGATATTCACTCCACCAAAATCCCTAGAGACAGGAATTGTGCCTTGATTTGACATCTCATGTCCAGTGTGGGGAAAATCCTTTCTTCTATAGGGTAGATTCTAGTATACTATTAAATCAAATGTTTGGTTCAAAGACTTCTCCGTAAATAATAAACTAAAGCTTAATTTGACACATATATAAAACTTACCTACAAAAGATAGTCACACACCAAGTTATGGAGCCCACCTAGATGCCCATCAATAGAAGAATGGCAGGTATGCACAATGGAGAATTAATTATTCAGCAATAAAGGACATTACATCATCTACAGGAAAACTAACAGAATTGGAGATGATCATGCTAAGTGAAATGACAAGGACACCAAGATAAATGTCACATTTTCTCTTGTATATGAAATCTGTCTAACCATCTACCCATTTGTCTATCAGGACTCATCTATAATTATCCATATTACATGAAAGAAGGGGAATATTGAGACGAGACAAAGGACCAGTAGAGGAGGGAAGAGAGACAAGAATGGCTAGTGGGTGGTAAATGAGCAGAGTGTGTGACACACATGTGTAAAAGTATCATAGTGAGAGCGGCAAGATGGCTTGGTGGATGAAGAGCTCACCTCCAAATCTGACCACCTGTGTCCAATCCCCAGGACCTATATGGTGGGAGAAAAGAACTGAACAGTCTCATACAAATTGTCTACTGACCTACATTTACACACACCGTGACTTATGCAAACCTCCACACTCCCACAAAATAAATAAATTAGGAAATAAATAAATATGTCATGATGAAATCCATCCCTTTGCACAATGTGATAATGAAAAAAGATGTTACATATACAAGAAGGAAAAAACCCTGCCTATGTGAATAGTTGGGCTGAAGGTTTAGGTTTTTTCTTTGGCTGGCTTTTTTGTTTTGCTTTTAATAATCCAGGACTTGGGCTGCCACAAGCTCCCTACTGTTCAAACCAGGTGCTCAGAACAGGATGAGTTCGAGCCAGTCAGGGTGTTTTCCCCCTCAATTTCCATGCCACTTCTTTTCCTCTGGCCATAAATACAGTCTGCCATTGAGAGGGTGGGGCATCCTGAACCACTTTTTGGTCTGGAGTGTTGCCTGACTCCAGTCACCACCACAGTGAAGGCCTGTGGCAAACTGCTAAACTAGGCTTGCCATGTTTGCCCTTAGCAATATGCCCCTTGTGGATCAGAACACGAGACAGGGAGGACCAGTAAATGGCTTGCCCTGGTCACACAGGACTTAAGCTTTAAGTTGAACTTCAATGACTCCAATGTCAAGGCCAACACCTTCCAGAGCAGGGAATGGAGGAAGGGGCCTAGAGGATGCTGGGGGCGGGGGGGGGGGGAGCTGTTTGCATGAGCAATTGCCTAGCATCCCTTTCTGGATTGCTTTATTTGTACCATAAGTACCTGGCACACAAAAGACAAGGGGGGTAACTAGATGTGGATGAGCCCTTTCCCCAAAGGGGAATGTTTTCCTGTGCTTTGGATTAAAAAGAAATCCAGGCACTGATTTGGCCATACAATCATGCAAGCATGTAGACCTGAGCTTTCCCCCCAGAACCCATGGAAACAAGGAAACCAAACAGAACACTGGCACAGCGTGTGTGCCTGCCATCCCAGCACTCGGGAGGCAAGGAGCTTGCAAAAGGGCCAGCATATTCAGTCAGTGAGCTCCACGCTCAGTGAGAGGCCCTGCTTCCAAACATGGGTTGGAGATGTGATTGAGGTAAACCTCTGGCCTCCACATACATGTGCATGCATGCTCGTACTTATGTATGTGTGTACATATATACACAACCTTATACACATATACAGGCACATACACACACGTACATGTACAGACACATCTGAGGAAGTTGCACAAACCCTCAGGAGAATGTAAGCATTGAGCTTAACCACCCTGCTCATAACCCCGCCTGCCTTGTCTTTGTTCATTTAGGAATGGCCCTCTGAGTACCCTTACTTTAGACACGACCTGCCTCAGGAACTGTCCCAGCCCTGGTCTGACAAAGACTCCTCCTGCAAAGGATCCTGAAGTCCTAGGAGCTTCCTCTGGCAGAAGCTGTGCCCACACCTACCCAGGCCCCTCTTGGGTTCTTCAGACCCCACCTGCCCAGAGTCTCTCTCTCCAGCCCGAGGCTCCTCCCTGTTTGGGGATCCCCTCCCCCCATAACTGACCTCTTTGGCCTGGTTAGTCTCAGCTCCTGCCCCCAGGAGCCTGTCCCCATGAGCAGCCTCAGTCAGTTTATGGTCTGCAGCCCAAGCATTAGGGCTGACAAGCTGCTAGATAGGAGGGGCCCAGACTCAGGGATGCTGTTTGTGGGAGAGCACAGTGAACACTGGCCTGCAAGCACCCTGCTCAGCCCCCAGCAGCATTCATGGCTGCAGAAAGTCCAACAATAACAGAGACAGGCACAGCACTAGCCCTCCTGCCACAGGCCCTGGGCAGTTACCCAGCACATTCCAGCAGAGGGGAGTGGCCCAGGCCCAGGTTATCCAGGTCACAGCTTTATTTTTGTCACAAGCCTTTCTTAATCCCTTCAGTCCTGACTAACCCCCATGGAGCCTGCACTGGAACCTTGTTAATTACCTGAGAGGCTGCTAAGTGCCTTGACTGTCAGAAGGTCTCAGTGCTGTCCTGGCCAGGAGTCTGAACACAGATGCTGCAGTTGGGATGGCTCCAGGGACAGTGGAGGAGAAATCAATGCTGCTGAAGCCACTGGAGAGGCCAGAGCATCTCTGCATGCTGGGTCTGAGCCAGGAGAGCAGGAGCAGAGGAGCACCAGTTTCAGTTTCGATTACTGGAAAATTCTTCTGACTAACAAGGGAAAACCTCTGTGGGAGTCTTTGGCTGGGGCTCAGATTCACAAGGGAAAGCCATGGCCCTGGGGAACTTGGAGTTCAATCCTGGACACTGCACACAAGCAGGCATGTGTCCAAAAACATCACCCAAGTGAGTGACAGGTGTACTTAGAGCAACAGAGGGAGCAGACAGCCCCTTCTTGCCCAGCCAAGACAACAACAGGGAAAAGGAAGGAAGGGACAAAGGAACAGGAATCATGGGTCACCAAGAACTCATGTGTCTCCCAGAATTTCATTCTGAAAAGTTCATAATCTCCTGAAAGTTAAGAGATGTACCCATAAATCCTTAATTACTACTGTTTTACTGTTCTCTCTCTCTCCCTCTCTCTGTCTCTGTCTCTCTCTCTCTTACACACACACACACACACACACACACACACACACACACACACACACACACACTTGAGGGCAATTTGCAGAAACTTACCCTTAAATCAATCCCCATCCCCCCTCTAATGATTTGAGGGTATTTTACATAAACAAGCAAAATGTGACCGTGGAGAAATTTAGCACTAACACAATAACACAATCTGGCATCCATTAACTATCTAACAATCAAAGTTTCCTGCAGTAAAGACAATAATGCCCTTACATATAATTTTCTTCATCTTGTCTTTGCTTTTCCCCCATAGAATTCAGACACTGGGTATTCCTAAGGTTGTGATTTGTTCAGCTCCTATAACCTGTAAGTCCTTACTCCTTGGTCCTGTACATGACACTGGATGTTTGGAGCCAGGACATTTGTTCAGCCAAAGCCCCTCCTGCTGGACTTGTCAGTTTCCTCCCAAGAACAATGTTAAATCTCTTTTTAATAAGACCATCACAGTGGGTAAAGTCTGGCACCTGTGTTTTCAACCTTGCTAGTCATTCTCTGTCTCAGGTATTTCTCATCACTGTGGTAAAATACCCAACAGACCCAGCTTAAGCAGGGAAGTTTAGCCCATGGTGGAGGGAGAGGCATAGTGGAGCCTCTCCCTTCATGGCCACTGGAGTGCATCACAATAGCTTCCTTGGTCTTGGTGAATAAGGAGCAAAAGCTCAGACAAGAACTAGAAACTCTCAGCAGTTTCAAGGCCAGCACCAGCTTTTACCTAGGCTTCTGTATCCGTCCAAACTCCAAAAACTCCTCCTAATAGTGCCTCCTTCTGGACACCAAGTGTTTAAATTCGTGACCTGTGGGTAACATTTCAGATTTAAATCTTGACAGTTTTCCAATATTATCCCCAAGGGACCTGATTATTTTCTGTTGCTGTGATATAAGCACCATAACTCAAAGCAACTTGGGGAGAAAAGGCTTTATTTCATCTTACAGCTTACAGTCCATTATGGAAGAAAAGTGAAGACAGGACCTCAAGGCAGGAACCTAGAGACAGGAACTGAAGCGCAGGCCATGGAGGATGTTGCTTACTGGCTTGCTCCCATGACTTGCTCAGCTCACTTTCTTCTATAACCCAAGACTACCTGCCCCAAGATGGCAACATCCACAGTGGGTTGGGCCTCCCCTATCAATCACTAATCAAGAAAATATTGCACAAATATGCTGGAGACCAGTCTGATTAAGACAATTCCCAGTTGACATTCTCTCTTCCCAGGTTAATGCATTCGTGCCAAGTTGGCAAAAACTAGCCAGCACACATACCATCCGAGTTTACATTTGTAGCTACAGAAAATGGAGCAGTTGCTCTTCTAGACACTCTGACCAAATACCAACAAAAGCAACATAAAGAAATGAGGGATTTATTTTGGCTCCTGGTATGAGGGGATACACTCCATTGTGGCAGGAAAAGCAGAATGAATTCCAGGACAGCCAAGGCTACACAGAGAAACTCTGTCTTGAAAAACAAACAAACAAACAACAACAACAACAAAAAGCCATAATGGTGAAGACCTGGTCCCCAGCCTGTGGCATACTGTGAAACCATGGAAACTTAGGAAGATTGAGTACAAAGGGAAACCATTAGGGCTATGCCAGGATGGGGAATCTGAATCTTTAAAACTCTCTCTCTCTCTCTCTCTCTCTCTCTCTGTCTGTCTGTCTGTCTGTCTTGCCCCCACGTCCCCCTGTCCCCTGTCCCTGCCCCCACCGTTGCTTATCTCTCCCCTTTGTGTTTTGGGGATAGCAGCCTACACCAACCGTCTGGGGTTGCCATTTGTCTTCTGTCCCACTAACACATACATCATCACATTAACCAAGTGGTTACACATGGCTGCATGCAGCCCAAGCTGATCCTTTCCCCCATCAGCCACTTCCCACTGAAGTAAAACCATGCTTCTGGCTACACCATGGAAAAGAATTTCAGGGTGGTGTAGAGCCGGACTTCACTAACAGGGGTTTTTGACTTAGATTTGAAGCACAGGTGCCCAGGGGAAGAGTGAGACAGACCCCAGTGTGGGCGTGGCTTCTCAAGGGAGAGTCACCCTGGTCTTGGCCATGGCTGCACATGGAATCCCTGGGCTTTGTAATCCCCATCACTAGGAGAAAACCCTTCACAGCAAGGTAGAGGTTAAAGCATTTCCTTTTATAGGGGTTGCAAGTCCTATGAGTCCAGAAAAGGCACCGTTTGCTCAGTTTACTCATTACCTTTAATGGTTTTGGCTTGTGATGGCTTAAGGAAAGTGCCCATCATCTCCTCGGGCAATTTTGGCTTTACCTGAGGTGTGTGGAGCTTCCTGAGTCTGCCAGCAGGACAGACAAATCAGCCAGATCTCAGGACACAGGGTTTCTTTTCCCTCTCCCACCTCCCCAATCTTCTCTCTGCCCTGCCTCTTTATGATTGGCAAGTTCTTGTTGGGTCTCAGGAACAGTTTCAGCTTCCCATGCTAGAACGTTGGCTAAGGCGTTTTCATAAACAGATTTTGCATTTTATCTAATTGTTGAGAGGATTTTTTAAATCATAAAAGTAGATTGTATCTTAAGAAATGCCTGTTCTACATCTGTTGAGATGGCTGGATGGCTTTTGCTTCCTCCTCTCCCTTGACACACAATGCATTTTTCATCAGTTTGAAGATACCAAACCATCCTTGTATTCTGGGGATGAATCCCACTTAGTCCTGGGTGTGACCTTCTTAACCTACTGTTGCATCTTGTTTGTGAGGATGTTCCTGAGGGTTTTTGAGTCTGTTCATCAGAGAGTAAATGTTTGCCTTCATCACTCTCGACCAGTATGTGATTCCCATTTGAGCAGGCATCTTGTCCTGGTCAATAATGTCTAAGAGCTTAGGGTAGACATCGGTGGAAGGAACATAACTTAATGGCCAGAATTCTGAGAAAAACATTCTGAAGATATAAGAAATGCCATCTGGTGTCACCAGGGTCCTTAGTGTTGATGCAGCCCTAAAGCTGGGACATGGTGGGGCCACCAGGATGTATGGAGTGGGAGGCAGCATCTGCCTATTGGGTAGTAAGAGCTCCAGAGTCTGAAAGGTTGAACCAAAGTGGGATGGTCCACCCCAGGGGATGAGGCCTCTGAAGGGGACTAGATCTCCCTCAACCTTGATGTAGGCTTCCATCAGCTGCTCAGGGGAGGATCTGGACTAAAAGGCAGGCAGGAGCTTGCAGGGAGCTTTGAACGGTGCATTTCTTCATTACTGCTTTCTTTTCTTTTTTCTTTCTTTCGTTGTTTTTTATGGGAGATCATAAATGCTCTCCCACTGCCACAAATTATAGTCAAGATTCTCACATTTAGGGAACTGGCAGAGGGACAGTACACCCAGGGTGCCGTGGATAAGCGTCTCTGAGAAAACCACCCGCATGGTCATGGTGTCTCCCCTGGCAGGTAAGTATTAATTGCATCTTTCTAGTAACAGTAAAGTCCCCCCAAATGAGTAGTCTAAATGATGCAAGATAGATGCATCACCACAACTGGGGTGATATGAGAAGGAAACCCTTCATCCTGATATGGTTGTTTTGTTCTTCCTACTGGCACAGCCAGGAAGCTCCACACCACTGATAATGCCAGAATTGCCCATGAGATGATGGTTTTTTTTTTGTTTGTTTGTTTGTTTTATTTTTTTTCCTAATGACATCTCAACTGAAAATGTTAAAGACAAATTAAACCATGCCTGCTTAGGGCCCAAGTGATTTCTAACCTTGATTTTTAGCACTTCTTATTCCTATCAACACCTGTTATAAATTCACTTTACAACTTTGTTCATGAAAGGAAACTCTTTGCCCTCTCGACTTGCTGTGAATTACACCAAGTGATGGAAATTATAAACACATGGGGCCAAGGAAGGATGTCTCAATTTTCTCCTGGGTGTCTGGTAAGTTCTGTGCTTAAGGTCTATGCTTTAAGAGTTCTTCGATGAGCCCTGTTCATTGCTGGCCTGGCCTGATAGGCATCCATGGAAAAGCCAAGAATCTGGCTTCACCTGGGTGAAAGGCTCTAAGTGGGGAAAGGAAGTATCCAGGCTACACTTCCTGGAGTGCTGACTCCACCTCCCTCCCTGCTGACAGAAGTAGCAGAAACTGATTGGCTCAGAGCTCTGAGGTAGAGACCAGAGGAGCCCAGATGGTTGAGGCCTTGTAAGGGCTCAGAGAGAATCTTTCCAGGACTCCCCTACCTTCTGTACTTTGCAGGCATCTTATCCTCCTTGGGTGGTAGAAGTGTTGCCCTGTGAACACCTCTCTGAACCCACATTTCCCCTTTGGATAAAGACATCAAGGTATATAGGGTCAGGGTTCTGATGGCGTTGTGTTAACTATTCATACTGTGATGGAAAATTAATAACTAAAAGAAGAAAGCCCACTACCAGCTGTGTCAACATCCCCCAACTGTGTCAATATCTCCCTTGCCCCATTATCTTGAGAGAACAGAGAACTCAATGGCTTCTTGACCTACCTAAATGGATGATAGTTACTGTTCTCTTTGATCCATGATGACCTTGTATGGAAACTTTGTACGCTGTGAAATCTCTGTACCTATGGAAACTCTGAAATTTGTGGTCTGCCCTTTAAAAGCATCTCATCCCCTACCCCCACCCCCCATGGAGATCCAAGCTGGCCAGCTTGAACAATAAAAAAAAAAAAAAAAAAAAAAAAAAAAAAAAAAAAAAAAAAAAAAAAAACCTTTGCATTGGTATTGGAATCATCTGGCTCCTTGGGCTGGTCTGGGGCTCTGGGAAGCTGGCACAGCAATATCTGCAATGACCTTATTTTCGAATGGAGTCCTAGTCTAAGGTTTCAAGGATCGAACATCGAGTGAGGTCAGGAAAGGGAGACACCATTCAACCAGTGTCATATTGGAAGAAAATCTGCCTTTTAATAAATGATGTAAATTTGAATTTTCAGGAAGACATCTGCTTGAATGGCTCATGGTATAAACTATACAATGACGCAATGATCTTGTTTATCAAACACTTATCCTTAAAATACTTCACTTCTTACTCACACTAGATCCTCTGAGGATACCAGAATGTTCCAGAATAGCTGTCCTCCATTGCAATACTCAGTGTCCCAGAAGACTGCTTCCACCTTCCTGATCTTCCAAGATGGCAAAGATAGGAAACAAATTGCATCTGATTTGGGTTGGTCCCAGCCTGGGTGTGACCCTTTGAGCCCATGCTCATGTCTAAGCGGGTCTATGATACTCATCTATCATTGGCTGGAAAGAAGAAGGGACAGATGGAGTGCCTTGGTACCCCCATAGCTTTCACTGTAGGGATGTGGGAAGGACTGGAGTCTTCTGGTTTACTTAAGGCCACAAGGTAACAGAAAACTTACTCTTAGCAAAGTTTGGAGGGTGGTGGGGGGATATTTACATAAGGAACTAAAGCTCATGAATCACTGTATCCCTGAAGCCTGGAGAATAGAGACATCTGAACCCAGGATCATTTAGAAGTGCACTACCAAAGAGATGAGGACGAGGAGGGACAGTGTTGGCTGCAGTTTGATGGGGAAAATCAAGAGCATCTCCTGGATTTTTCCAGGTTTAAAAATTCATGTGGGATTGGTGAGATGATTCAGTTGGCAAAGTGCTTGCCGTGCAGTCCCAAGGACATGAGTTCAAATCCCCAGAACTGATGTAGAGAAGCTAGGTGTGATGGCACAAATTTGTAATCCAGTGCTGGGGGGGGGGGTGACCAGATCCCTGGGACTGGCTAGAGAAACAGATTGGCTTATTTTGTGAAGTCCAGGTCAACGAGAGGCCCTATCTCCAAAAACAAGGTTGACAGGAGCAGAACAATGACCTAGGTTGTCTCTACACTCCACACACAGCTGCACACATATGTCCACATACACCTGCATACACGTGTGTACACACAGCTGCAAACACATGTCCATACACAGCTGCACACACAGCTGCACAAACAGCTACACACATACCTGCACAAACAACTACACACACAGCTGAACATACATGTGCACATGGCTGCACACACATGTGCACACACAGTTACACACATGGCTGCACACATGACTGCACACAAATGTACACACGCAGCAGCACACATGGCTGCACACACATGCACACACATACACACATGGCTATACACACATGCACTTGCATGCACAGGAACAACACAGATACATAACACAGAGAAGATCATATGGGATGAGAGATGGGGAGGACCATAGAGGGGAGGTGGAAGAGAATATAGAGGTGCTGGGCAGTGTGGGGCAGAGAATCCACCCCATCCAATCCTCCCTATGCTGGAGTGGACTGTGGGGATACCAAGAACTGGACTCCTGCATTATCCTCATCACCCTCAAGAAGTTTGTGCAGCCTTGACTCTTCACGGGGCTTAGCATGTACTTTCTGAAACTGACTGAATGGTGGATGGATGAAATGAACAAATACTACTAATTCAGTGTCCCCTTTCCTATGCCCAAATGTCACAAGTGATCAGGAGAAAGGAACATTGTGAACACTCTCAGTCCCAGCCCTGGACAAAGTCCTTGCCCACTCCTGGATGTGCCTGCTGGGAGGTGACCTGTGGGCCACACCAATTCTGGATTATGGAAAGGTCCTTCTCCAGGAACTGATCATTTTTCTCAAGCAGCTGGGGAGGTTTCAAAATCAGCAGGAATTTATTATGGTGTCAACCCAAGGTATGAAGGATTTTCCAGCCGTCATGGCCCTCCTGCCAGTTGATGAGGGAGAAAAAAGGGGATTTCCAAGGGCACTGGGTATGTCTATCTATGAGGCCATTATTGGCCACACCCAGATCTCCATCCCCGTGCCTCACCAACCCCCAACCCTGCAGAAGAAAACGCTATTTAAAGACAGTTGGAGTTCAGGAAAACATGACAGGCCCCTGAACAAGAAACTGCTGCATCATCTGAGAGGTAAGTACCCAGAAACACCTGCCTTGTGGCTGCATTTGAGTGGTTGTATAGGTGAACGCATGCATGTGTGTGCACATGGACATGCGTGTGCATGTGAGCCTCCATCGTGTAAACATGTACTAGGCAGTATTTGTATGCAAGTATTTTGTAGGGTTTGTGAAGGTGCTGAGGGAGAATCAAGAGCATGTGTGTATATGTGTGATCTACACAGGGTTAGAAAGGCTTGCAAAGAGAATGTGCAGTTTTAGCTAGAAACAAAGATGTTGGCAATGAGACTCCATAGATGGGATTCTCAAGCCTTGAATCTAATGTAAGGAAGCAGGTAGAGTATCTAATGAGGAGAGGATTTGCCTTCAACCTCTCAAATTTGTGGAACAAGTCCAGTCTCCCAGGAGGAATGAAGGAGGTGCAAGGATGGTCCCGGTAATGTATCATATTCCATAAAGCCAGGAAGGGACAAGAGGTGACATGTGTGACACACTGTCAGAAGCCACTCTCCATATATTCTGTCTTAACCCCATGCAAGAGCACATCTCTGCTCCAGGGTTGCTAAGTCAGACGGCAGAGCAGGGCCTGGGGCAGAGGCTGAGACTCCTGGGAGGAAATGCCCAGGCCAGTCTTTCTGCACTGTTCTTCACAGACTGACAACATGAAGGTCCTCCTACTGCTAGCAGCCTTGATCATGGCCTTTGGTAAGAGCTGACTCTGAACTCAGCAGGGTGGGGGTCTGAGGAGCGAGACACCCCATCCTCCAGCTTTACTTTCCCTTGCCCCAGCCCTGTCACAGTGGGAAGAGGAAGGCATCCATTTGTGGGGAGAGAAGGTAGTAGAGAGACGCTAATGCAGGGGAGGGGCACAGGGTTCACTGCCCTTCCTCAGCCATTTCTCCATTTCCTTTCAGGCCCAATCCAGGTCCAAGGGAGCCTTGTCGAGTTTCGGCAAATGATCTGGCTAAAGACGGGAAAGAGACCTGATAGCAGCTATGCCTTCTATGGTTGCCACTGTGGCGTGGGTGGCAGTGGAGCCCCCAAGGATGCAACCGATCGGTGAGGACATCCCTATCTTTTGTTAGCCCTAGCTGGGATGAAACCAAGGCACAGCTGGGACCCCTGACTCAGCACCCTGGTGAATCCCCACCAGCACAATATTCAGGTCACTGCAAACTCTGCTCTAGAATTTCTGAGTCTCTGCTCAGGGTCCAGGGTCAAGGGAAGTACTGAGGTGCCAGGACTGCAGGGCTGTGAGAAGGCAGCCTCAACCAGTGTCCCCCACCCAGGTGCTGTGTGGCTCATGACTGTTGCTACTACCGTCTGCAGAAAAGGGGCTGTGGCACAAAATTTCTGACCTACAAGTTCAGCCACCCAGGGGGCAAAATCACCTGCTCTGGTAAGAAATACCCAAGATGCCTGCAAGCTTCCCTCAGGTGGTTTTTTTTTTTTTTTTTTTTTTTTTTTTTTTTTTTTGAGCATACAAATCCTGGGCAGTTTCCTGGAGGAGAAGGGGAATTTATCCCTGCTTTAAGACCCTCACAGAAGATTCCAACGGGAAGGCAGAAAGAACCTTTGCACACCTGGGGCCTGAGGTGGATCCTGCAAGCAGCACTATCTAAGCCGAATCCTGAAAGTCAGTGAGGCATACAGCCAGAGAGGAAGGCTGGGCCACCGCACACATAGGGCACAGCATGGTCAAAGGGTCAAAGAGGACCACAGGCCACTCTGTGCTGCCCAATGGGCATGTGAGGATGAGTCTGAGCAGGGAGACAAGGAAGGGACAAGGTCAAGCCAGGTCGTCCTGGCCATTGTCGAGAGGTTTTTTTGGACGACAGCAACAGGGACCTATTATTTGCCAAAACAGCAAGAAAGATGTTTGCAAAAGAGAGCTCATCCTGGCTGGGCGGATGGGCAGGAGGGAGGGGGAGCCAGTGGGCCATGCTGCCTGCAGGGGAGTGGCACATGGTGTGAAAGGGCCATGGTCAGATTGGAAAGGTCACAACCTGTGAGAATTCTAGAGCAGTGTGGTGCCAAGTCTGGCAACTTCTAAGCCCAGGGTCAGGCCTGCTCCTGAGCTCTGAGCTGTTGCCAACATCTGTGCTTAGACTATAAGACACAGGATAGCTCCAAGATCTCCCTAGCCTCCAACCACAGGTGGCTTTCTCTCACTAAGACACACTGGAGAAGGGAAACGATCACTTCCCAGCAACTTCTATTGACCTGCTCTTTTGGCACTGTATTCAGAATACAGCTGCATGCTACCTTAAGACCAATACCGGCCTAGGAGAAAGGGAGGGTGGACCACACCGGTATTCACCAGTTCCATCCATCCCAAGGCCAGTGAGGCAAGAGGGAGAGGCAGAAATGTAGCTCAGTTGGCAGACTGCTAGCCTAAAGTACAAAAGTGCCTGGTTCCATCCCTAGCACTGTATACATTAGGCATGTTTAGCATGCCTGGATTCCCAGAACTCAGGACTTGGATGAAGGAAGATCAGAAGTTTGAGGTCATCCTCACGTACATAGAGTTCAAGGCCAGCAGACCCTGTCTTTCAAAACAAAAAAACAAAACAATGAAAACTAGAAGAGGGTGTCTAGGAAGAGAAGCAAACCTCTGTTAGTGCCAGGCTTGGCGTCTGTGTCCCCATCAGATGAGGTTCTGCCTTCCCAGCAGCTCTAGCAATTTTATCAGAACAGGCAGGTCCCCACAAGCAGCCACAGGATATTAACAACCATCAGCTCAGTGTCTACTTTCTCTAATTTCAGCAAACCAGAACTCCTGCAGGAAACAGTTGTGCCAGTGTGATAAAATTGCCGCTGAATGTTTTGCCCGGAACCGGAAAAGCTACAGTTTGAAGTATCAATTCTATCCCAACAAATTTTGTAGTGGAAAGTCTCCTAAGTGCTGAGAGAACCGCCTTCCTCGATGTCTGGGCATTGTCTACTCTATTTCCCCTCTGCAACCCAGCCAAATTCCCCCTGTGACAAACACCCCTCTCCCACCCTAGAGGCATGGCAGAATAAGCCTCCAAAGCCTGATGAGTCAGGCTGATTTTTCATCTACCTTGGACTGACAGATTGCCCATGCCCAATTTCCCCTTGGCATCCAACTTCCTGCCTCAAAGTACTAAAGAGAGTCCTGGGAGTTTCTTATGAATACAGTAATTTTCAACTGTGTGCTCTCTTAATGTGAAGTGAGACTGATAAAAAGTATGTGTGCTAAAAGTACAGGCTTTGGGGCTGGGGAGATAGCTCAGTCCATAAAGTGCTTACCATGCAAGCATGAAGACCTACAACCCCCAGAACCCACATACATAAAGCACATGCTTGTTTACAATCGGTGGATCCTTGGGTTCCCTGGCCAGCTAGTCTCTTTAAACCAGCAAGTTCCAGGCTAGTGAGAGACCCTGCCTCCAAAAACAACATAGATGGTGTCCTGAGGTCCTACACCAGCGCTTGATCTACAGCCACCACACATAAACGTGCATATATAGGTATATGTGGGCATTGGCCGGGACACAAACACACTGATATACACAGAAGAACAGGCTTCCCAGTCAGTCTAGCTGGGTACAACCATAAGTCCCCCACCACTTAAGCCCTGATTCTCTGGTACAAGTGGAGAGACCCTTGTCAAAGCCTCCTGCTAGGGTTTGTTTGGGAATTAACAGGGGACACAGAAATTAGGCAGTGTCCAACCACTGTAGCTGCCATCCCTGTCAAAGGCAGGCCTCCTCCCCCCCACCTCCCATCCTCAGGCAAAAGTCATTTCTCTGGCCAATCTGGGGGATATGGAAGCCTAAGTTGTCAGAACAAAGTGGAGTTCTTCTGTGAAGGTTCAGCCACTTTGAACTGAAAGAAAACAGAGATAGCTAAAGACGGCATCTTGTGCTCACACGCCTGTCACAGATCTTCTCCCGGAGGACTGCCAGGGCCATGGCGTGGGCAAAGCTGGCCACCTAGCGAAGATGCCTCTGCCTCTGCCGCCCGCATCTGTCAAACTGAGAAGTTTGCACAGGTCCTTAAAATGCCCCGACAGCTCCTCAGATTCTCTTTACCTTGAAAGAGCAGTCAGAAACCAGCGAGAGCCCCCAGTTCTGGGTATGGTCCTTGGGACCAGGGCTGACAAGTAAACACTCTCGGTCATTTGTGTCTGTTGTTTTGAATCTGCTAACCTTTATACTTACATCAAGATAAAGACAAACTGAAATATAAAATAGTTTAAAACCCTGCCAACCCCCAGAAGAAAGTTTCTCTTTGCCATTGTGACCCATAGAAGAGACAATATTTAATTCCTCCCAACCCCTAATAGTGATCTTACAACTTACAGCAACTCCTTGGAAACCCAGGCGCCTAAGGCACCCTTCTCTGAAATGAAAACTTGGGATTGGAGGCTTGGAATGAGAGCTTCATGAAGTTGTTCTGCCCTTTCAAGTCGCCCTGATGCCGCAGTCTGAGCCTTGTACAATAATAAGATCTCTGGCATGGAAAATCTGTTCTGACTGCCACGCCCACACAGAGACTGCCAACCACCTTTCAAAACTCATCCCCCAAAATGCTTCCTGCCCAAATTGATGAGTCAAGTAAACCATCCAAGCAAAACAAGAAAAGGAATGGGGGGGGGGGGCGTGCAGATAAAACTGGGCCAGCAAGATGGCTTAGTGAGTAAAAGTATTTATTAAACAGCCTGCCAACCCAAGTTTGATCCCTAGAATTGCCACAGTGGAATGGGAGAAAGTTGTTCTCTGACCAACATGTGTGTAGTGGCAGGCACCTGTGTGCTCATACTTACATGCACCATATATATTAACACAAATAATATATATATATATATATATACTATACATTTAGCAATAAAAATAATCTTAAGAGGCAATTGTTATTATTATTGAATTCAGGATGCTTTGGCAGTGTGTTATCCTCCAGTGCTAGCTAACAGGTAGCTCACATGTAAACTGAGTGAGTTCTAGGAGAGCCAGAGCTACACTGGGAAATCGTGTCTCAGGAGAATAAAACACAGTTATTCTCACTATGTGAACTGTACAGAAGCTAGACTAACCTGGCAGACAATGCCTGTGTATATTATCTGCTAATTGACATGGGGAGAGTCAAATTCATTGTGGTTGGCACCAACCCCTAGACTGAGGACCTGAACTGTACAAAACGGAGAGCTGAGTGTTAGGAAGCATTCTTTGCATTCTTCTTGTGCTGGTGGATGCCATATGACCAGCTGCCTCAAACTCCCCTGGCCTTGACATCCCCACCAACAATGAACTTACCTTGAACTGGGGCCAGAGCACATGCCTTCTGTCCTGAATTGCTCTATAGAGGTGTCTCTGCAAAAGGAAAAGAAACTAAGACAGGCACCGAGAGGCTAACCCTCTGCGTTCTGTTACACTGGGACTACAGGCGTGTTCCCTCACGCCCAGCAAGCTGTCCTGTGCCTGTGTCCATAATTGCATTCTTTATAATTAGCGTTTATGCTCATGGGCTTTCAGACGGTTTCTTGCTCTTGCCTTGTGCAGCTGACACTTCCCCTGATCCGGCAGGACTGAATCAGATGCTTTGTGTTGCCCAGTCAATGTCCTATGCTCCTGGTTACTGTCACTCTAGCTAGGGGACAGAGTGATGATAGGCCGTCCTTTTCATCATCCCCTTGCTGCCACCATGGGTTGGTATTTTGCTCAGCACCTTGTCACAAGCACCTAGAATTGTCAGCACTCGCTGAGACCCCCATCCTGAGGCCACCCCAGGAATAAGGACATGAGAAGAGGAAGGAATGAACCCGGAGGGATGGAAAGAGCCTGATTTGGTCTCATGTTTCTCACTAAGCAGTGATTTGGGGCAGCCGTCACTGTGACAGAAATGGAGGTGTCCTAGGCAGACACTTGTGCCCAGTCTTTAATGAAGGTCCCCAAAAGATGGAATTTCCCCAGTGTTAACCTGAGGAAGAATCTGACTCGCACGGTTCTGATGTCTTGGCAGACTACCATGCGAGGGTGACCAGGGCAGAGGTGACAGTGGGCAGGACCACACCTTGACCAGGGCTGATTAGTTAGGCACACCTCTTGCCCTCTTCATCTCCTCATGCCAGGACCCTGAAGATGGACTTAGGCTTCACTGAACCTCTTTGTTTCTCCTGCCGTGGCTATACTGATGACGTAAGTCTCTGCCTTTTCTCTGTTGCCTCTGTTTAATTGAACGGTTGAGGTTGGTGTCTGTGCCTGCTTCCTTAGGGCTGCCGGGTCCCAGCCTCTGACCCTAACTAAGGGTTCTGGCAACCTTATCACACCTCTGGAGCGTCATCATCTTACAACCGAGGAACAAGACAGAAGAAAAACACAGTCTAGAATGTTCTCTAGCTGGGTGCAGTAGCTTAAACCTGTAATTCCAGCACTCTGAAGGCCGAGGAGGAGGAGCCTGAACCTGAGACCAGCCTAGGCTACATAATGAGAGAAAGGAAAAGAAACAGCTTCCTTCAGCCCCAACCACTCTGGCCCTGCTCATCCTCTGCCTCAGGACCCACTGACTCAGCTCCCCACAACTGCGCCCTGAGGTCCAGGTTGTCCCCAGCTTCCTACAAGGTTTGGCATAGGATCTTTCATTATTTCCTCAGATCCAAGCTCCTCTCTCAGGCCTGTCATACTGTCAGACTGGATTTGGCAAAGGAGCCAGGAGTCTTTGCTAATTTGCAGTCTTGGCACAAAAAAAGGGGGGGTGTGGTGTGCAGTGCCGGATCCTGTGTATAATTTAAAAGTACACACAGAGTTACACAAACACTGAGTCCCTTTCAAGGAACCACACAGCTAAAGAAAATAGAGTGGCTCCAGTGGAGGATGGGGGGGGAGGGCGAGAGAGGAAAATGAATGAGATACGACAAAACTGTGTCTTCCCCCAGCCAGTGATAATAGCGTGCGTGAAGAGAGACCACTCCTCTGATCTTTCAGCATTTACCCTTCTATCTGACTCCAGATTTTTATTATTAAGACCTATTAGAATTCATACACATCTGGCACCCAGTGTGGGGCACAAATTCATGAAAATCCTGCCTGCCTGTCTATTTCCAGACACTGGCACATGACTGTGCTCCCAAGGGAGTCACCACCCCCACAGCCAAGTTATCCTCTCTTTTTTCCTACGCCTCTAAGCAAGTTAGGATCTTTCAAATTGTGGAATTGAAAATTGTAGTCAAAGTATTCAAAATTTGCCCATTTGCATTTAATTTGATCTTTAGATCAGGCTAGGCAATTCCATCAGCAATTTCATGTGAATGCAAGGACTCTTCAACAGAAATTCCATTTGTCCAGAGCAGATGATCGACAGGTGGTTTTGAACTGTCCACAGTGTATAATATACCAACACCCACTTGGTGTTGGGGTAAACCCTAGGGGGTTAATGCCCCTAAAGATATGGCAGATGGGTGTCACACATATTTCAGAATTCGGAGCTTTGAAATATGTACATGTTCAGGTGTGGTACATGCTATGCCTTTAAGCGGAGAAAAAGCCCACAATGTCATTGGACACTGCCCGGAAGCCTGGGCGGCTTGGGGAAAACCTCAACAGCTAAAAACTGATAATGGGCCAGCCTATACGGCTCAGAGATTTACTTCCTTTTGCAAACAAATAGAAGTTCAGCTTGTCCATGGATTACCCTACAATCCTCAAGGACAAGGGGTTGTAGAGCGAGCTCATCGCACCCTAAAAGAATGCTTAATAAAACAAAAAGGGGGAGTAGGCCAAGGACGAACTCCCAAGGAAAGAATATCTTTAGCCCTTTTTACCCTCAATTTTTTAATTTTGGATGTTGATGGCCTTTCTGCCGCTGATCGTCCTCAGCAGCAAGGAGGGAGTCTAAAAGGCTATGTGAAATGGAAAGATGTGATCACCGGGTTATGGCATGGTCCTGATCCGGTGTTGGCATGGGTGAGAGGGTCTGTTTGTGTTTTCCCCCAGGATTGCCAAGAACCGTTGTGGGTCCTGGAGAGGTTTGTAAGAAAGTGCAACAAACATGAAGAGCCTGCTGTTGCTGTTGATCATCAGCCTGATTTAGCCACCAGTGCAGATGGAGCCACGATGAGAGAGCCTGTCGGTGTTCTCAAGACCCATGCCGATACGCTATGATGCAAAACTGTTTC